GGATAGGGAGGTTATAAAACTACAATTTCAAAGTACCACGCTGGGTTATCGCAGGGCTATAAAGACATTCCTCTGATTTAGACTCACCACAGATTTGGGCCTCTCTGCCACATTTTAACAAAGTTTGTTGCTTTTAAAACACTTAGTCCTGCAGTTAGTATGCTGTTGGTGTCTGGCTAACTTTTGACTGGACTAAAGACCGTGATGCACGCTTAAAAAGATCTGCTTAAAGCTTTTAAAGTAAAGAGCAAAATTGATTTGTCTCGAGTCATTTAGCCAGGCTGCAACACTAATAGCCTTCCATTAAGCGACTATGCCCTCTGACTGCAGGCATTGAAGTGCCATTTGGCATACAATTAAATAAATGAAAGTTTGCGTCAACACAACATTTGATTTATAAACGAGCATAATTTATTCTGATCGTGAGACTATTTGGGCTTTGATTAATTTGAATGCTCAGGTTTCTATTACTGAGCAAACAAGCTGTGTCTGGCTTTTGTGTGTAGGCGAGGGTGGGGTAAGATGCGTCCGTATGTAAGCTGTGTCAGTCCATTAATCTAGCAAACATACAAAATTTCTGTCACATGACCATAAATGTGGAAAATATATTTATACTCTGACTGAGAGATAATGCATTTTTTTTTATGTTAGAGTAAATGATATCTCTCTAGGTCTACATTAAAAATTAAATATGATTTTTCATTATTTATTTTTGCTAGCATATGTGTGTTTCTGGATCAATGGTTTCACACCTAAACTTTTGGTTTGCCCTTTCATAATAGCCTCCGGTGGTCCTTGTTATTCTTTTTAGAGAGTGAGGATTGTGTCCACAGGGCTTTGTCAAGGCCATCACAGTTCACTCACACAATCATCCACCCGCTCGAGGACCTATTAACCCACCACTGATCCTGGAAAGACCTCGTGCTCCCATTCGATTTAAAACTCTGGCTTTTAACCTGCACCGGAGTATGTCATTACTTACACATTTCATTATTTCAGAGTGTCCATTAGTTAAATGCCTCACTCATTAAATGCTCCTTTTTTGGTTTTAATAAGCGAGTTTTAAATGGCTGCTTCACTCACCTGTAGCCTAATCGCTCTTTGAGTGATCTAGGATGATTGATCCACATGAAACTGGAGCGAGGACATTGTTTCATTACATGACAATCTCGCAAATAGCATTATGTCAAGTGTGATATTTTTTTCTTTGAATCAGTTTTTCCGAAGACAGCCACACAGGCTGTCCCAGGTGGTGTGTCTGCGAGTGGGAGATTGTGATTCTGATGGAATAATGCTGAAGTCTTAATAATGGGATATAGGTGTGCATGTGTGTGCGGTGTGGTGACTGTTTATCAGTTGTGGCTTTCCAGCAATGGTCCCCGTGAATGGTGGCTGGACTGATAACATTGTTACTTTTTTTTAGTTCGCACAGAGAGAAAGACAACAGCAACTGCAACAGGTACTCAAAAGCAGACATGCATGTAAATACAAAGAGAGAAAGTTGCAGCAAAATGGCATAGATTCTGTTTTAAACTCTAGTGAGCTGTCTGTGTAGGCATTTGAGATGCACCATACGCATGTTCTTGAGAACAAATGCTGTTCCAGAAGCTAGGAAGCAAATTTATGCTGTCTTCTAAGATGTCTTTAGACCAAATTCAAAGGCAGTGTAACATGTATGTATTGCAACAAGCTGATAGGAAAATTCATCCAAGATTATTATAAGCACTTCAAGATGACTGTAAGCACTTGAAGACAAAAATAATCAATAAGAAATAGTTCCACCAAAATTCCAAGTTTCACTTAATATTTTATTTTATTTGATAATTTTGTGCTTATTTGAGTATGCTCTGTATTACTTGCTGCTATCTGCACCATATGGTTCAAAAGTAAAGCTAATCACAGAGTTATCTAGCTCAAACTATATAAAAATATTATGATATAAAAAT